CTGAGGATGTGCATCCTAGAGGAATGCCACTTTGTGAAGCCATGATATTGACAGAGCAGCTATAAAACGAGATTCAAAGACCCAAGGTGACATGATGGCTTGATAGCAGCTTGTCGTTGATTCTTGTATAAATTCAGCCCAGGAGGTTTAGGTGTTCCACTAGCAGGCCCTTTTCCAGCTTTTACTGTGCAGGATGGTAGTGTCATGTTGGGGTTTGTCAGATTGCCAAGGTAGAAATGGCTGTCAGGATGGATGAACAACAGGGTTGGCCTGTTGGCATAGAACTCATGGAGGTTGTGCACAGACAAAATACCTTCTGGAAAGTATTATTTTTCCCTGACAGAGTGACTTCAGAAAAGCTAGCAACTCGGGGCTTTTTCATTTGGTGTTGCTAGCTTGTGGAGACAGCTCTGGAGGGAGTTTCCATGGTTGTTTTTTTAGAACAATGCACTTAATCCCTTTGAGGTTAAAAATAAGTATGTACTATGCACTCTTCCATTCTAAAGTAACTTATGGGATGTTAGTCTGGGGAACGACATCACAAGGGAATTACCATAAGTTAACAACTATACAAAAGAAAATATTGCGCTGCTTTGAGAAATACAGGGGAATATACAAGACTTGCGCACTGCTCCACTATTCGTTAAGCATTCCATACTCAGAATTGATCAATTATGTCATTTTAAATTGCTTCAGTTATTACAAAAGACTAAGCTATATGAAGAAAGTTGCACCGAAAGACCACACTACAGTCTCCGAGAACAAAAGAAACGAGCTCCTAGAACAAGAACCAAGTATGGAAAACAAAGTGTTGCTTACCAGGTACCTCAGGTTTTAAATACCCTTGCAGATTAATTGAACTTTAGGGCTAGTAGTGCGACTTTCAAGAAACAAATAAAGAACTTATTCATAACCACCGGTCTACACTATCGAAACTACGTAATGGAGTCTCATGCCTCTGCAAATGCTTAAATTGTTCATAAATTTCTATGTCAATTATACGAGTGTATACAGCGCAATTCATTGTATCCGCATGCATTTTGTGTCTGTTTTTGAGTTGTTTCATTGATATCGTTTAGTTGTGAATTTTTACGAGAGTGACCACTAAATCTTAAAATGTGTTATGTAAACTTCTTATGCTATTTATGTTTGAATTTTGTGTGTACAATTGCAGGTTGCTTGAAACCAATGTATTGATTATAAATATTGTTTGTCAGTGCTGATGTCTAAGCTTTGCACTGTCACGGACTGCGAAGGGACAAGGGCCTTTGTCAGGCTGTTCGCCTTTAGCCCTTTGCCCCTGCAGTAAGCTCTGTATCCGGCTTACTGTAAATAAAAGTACTATACTATACTACTACTAAATGGTGTTTAATGACTAGTAAGTCATGGTACTAATTGTTTCAAGAGAAGTTGGTATATGTGGCTGCTCAGGATGGGCACATTAACATTTTCTATTTCTAACCACTTTCTCACAGTGCTAGTAATTTTCATCAGCCAAGGCGAGCTGAACTCAGTTGCGTTGCTGCCAGCTGATTGATCAGATGGGTGTGATCATTCATACAATGCAATTTCTTGAAATCAGCCTGTTCTCAGGCTAGACTTAAGTCACGTGTTTTCTCACCGTATTCGAAATCACATTAGTCATCATTTTGTATGACATGTACTAAAAGTAAGCTGATGAAACTATACTCTTTAGTAATTTGACAATTCAATTTTGTCAATTTATGTAATGTTGCCATTTTTTCTACTTATTGGTACAGTTGAAATTTAAGGCATTGCATTAGAAGGGTCGCAATTTTTTAAAATACATTCTTCACTCCATCCATGATCAAATTGACTGTTATTTCATTTTCTCCTACGAATTTTTCATGAGACATTCCTTACAAAGCTCTTCTAACCTCATTAATAGTCATGCCATACCGTGTTAATCACAGCCTTCAGTCAAGAATACATGACTAACTTTTGTACTGTGCAGTTCAAGATATAAGTCCTCTGTCATGTTGTCGAAATCACTGAAATCGTAGATATTTTGTTGATTAACTTGAATAAGATGCAGCCTTGATTACTTTTCTTCAGAGAGTGTGAGTCTCCAGAAATCATTCAGTTTCAATAACCATTTCATAGCTGAGGGCATAAAATAGTGCAAACACAGGGACTCAAGGAGAGAAACGAACCATTGTGTCTAGTTGCTATGTCTAGATGTAGATATTTACTGTTCAAATGGAGGCAGCTACATAATAATAATGACCATAATACACCAAGCATTTGCTGTTGCTTTTAACATTCAGATTTTGGAAGGTAAGAGCAATCAAGCTTGCATGAGCTTGAGAAAAGAGGAGCAGCACCAATTTAATTATGCCATCAAGCAAACCAGTTGTAGCATTATATTAGTGAAGTTCTGCTAGCTGGGCTACTAGGGAAATATGCAACTCTGGTTTTAATGTCTCAGCAAGGGAACTTGTCTGTGTGAAGTTCTAAAGTTTCAGCAAAATATCTTTAGACTTGTGCAAATAGGGAATTTAAGGTTCCCAGTGAATCTGAAGTGAATAATGATTTTGGTTGAATGATTTTGAATAATTTGAATAGTATATATTACATATTATAAGAATGAATGGGCATATTTGTCATGACCTAACTAACCTACACAATATTTTTTGAAATTCAAAAAAAGGCCTGTGGAAATGATATTTCTTTACTTCAAAGTCTCTTCAAAGAAAGTGGAAATAACTGAATAGTAGTAGGATTTGACTTTTGCTAGAACGCAAGTGACAATTTGTAAAAAAATATGTTGTGTTTTAAAATGCACTATACGTAGAGCATATAAGCTGATATAACAAACTTTCGCTCTTACAAAATGAATCGATGAAAGGGTAGTATCTTCATTTAACCTTGAAGTTGGTCGTCGCGGCAGTGCGGATTCCTCCTGTATATGTGTTTTCACACCTTAGCACTTCTTAACAGCAGTGAAACCATCTTCACAAATAGTTACATGCGAATTAATAGGCATATAAATAAATGCTTTCATGGCTTAGCAACCCTTCACTGCAGTGAAACCATCTTTACAGGATGTTACATGCGGATTAATATACATTTATTTGTTCATTTTGAATGATTCCAAATTTTCAGCATTTAAAGTTGAATTGAAATGAATTGAAATACTGAACATTTGAATATTTGAAGCATTCTAATTTTTGTACAAGCCTAAATATCTTTGTTCTTATGACAACACACCGCAAGTCACGGGATCGAATTCCGATTGCGGTGGCTGCATTTTTAATAGAGGCCAAAATGCTGTAGGCCCGTGTGCTCAGATTTGGGTGAACGTCGAAGAACCCCAGGTGGTTGAAATTTTCGGAGCCCTCCACTATGATGTCTCTCATAATCATATGGTGGCAGTTTTGGGATGTTAAAACCCACATGTCAATCAATCATCTTATGACAGCACAGTTTTGTTGAGGTGGCAGGAGACAGAGGACACCATCTTACAATGAAAGCTGCTATGAGATTGCAAGAAGGGGCGATTCTGGCATGATAGTTATCCACCACCGCCGCTGCCGCCGGTGTCCGTAACCACTATCGCACAAAATAAGAAAAAACTAACTAAATAAAAAAAAGAACAGAATGTGAATTGAACCTGGGTCCTCCGCATGGTAGCTCAGTGCTCTACTTCAGAGCTACACAGGTGCATGAAGCTTTGTTGTGAACTGACCCTGTGCAGGCTAAATATCGGGTAAGGAATCATGTCAACATGCATTATAAAGCATTTTATAACAGTACAGTAACAACCAGACATCACACAATGCGAATTGCGTGAAGAGGGGCTGTTGAATGCTTCAATCCATTACAAAAGTCTTGGGCATAATTGTCAATCGTCATCAGCCACAGCATCAACAAAGTTCATATAATGCCTTACAGCTGTGTAGTGGTTACCATGCTTCTCCAAAGAATTACGAATAATGACATTGTAGAAGCTTCTACACTACACAAAAATTTTGATGATTTATGGCGTAGTGGGTACTGTGCATGTCTGCTGGTAGTTGTTGCTACAAGAGAGTACAAGGCTCTAAAGAGGCGACTCATACAGCTTTCGCTGTGATGGTGCTGCGCGTTCTGTGCAAGCCTGGCAGCTTTTAACGTGATAGCGATAAAGAGCTTGTTTCGTAGATATTCTGGCATCTGTGTCATTGGTTGTGAGCGAAAAATCATCATTTTTACAAGACTGAAAAATCAAAAAAGATGCATATAAAATAAATAAAAAATTCTTGGTCTGAATGGGGATCGAACCCGGGTCATTTGCGTAGCAAGCGGGTGTTCTACCACACGGCCATGCCGTGTGGTAGAACACCTGCTTGTGAATACAGTGAAAATAATTTCCTCTGCTTGGAACTGCATTGAAAGTAATTTTCTTGCTTTACAAACACGTGTGTCCTGTATACATGCTTCACAATACAACATGAAGTATTGCCATAATATTGTATCGTACAAAGGTACATTGCCATTGGGCATCAGAACATGGGATTATCACAATGACTTCATGTTTTAAAGCCAGTCATCTACTACAAAAGGCCCATATACACTAGTGCACCCTTAAGGCCACATAATGGGTGCATAGCAAGTTCAAAAAGATTTCATATACTAAGTGTTTAAAGTACACACTAGAAACAGAATATCAATATCGTGTGTAACTCTTAAAGGCGAAGCTTAAGAGTCCCCCAATTTTTGTTCCCTTATAGTACCTTATGTGTCTCTTTTATTCTAGTATTTTTGAGCTACCTTAGATTGAATCATGTTTATGAATAGCAAGTGTTTTAAGCATTATGATTTTTATTTGGCAAATTGCATTGTTTATAATCACTGATAAAATATGAGCTTTAAAATTATTATACTTGCATGACGTGTACTTTATACTGTTTCCGTTGTGTTATCTTAGTAGTCATTTAGTTTTAAAATCTAGGAATTGTTTTTACTGAATGAAAGAGCTTGTTTTTTGGTCTTTGCAGCTGTCTACAAGACCAGGAAAAAGAGATTGACCAATTGAAGAGAGACTATGTCTTCCTCATGCAGTCGGCCATTAGGATGCGTTCCATGGAAGGACCTGAAGTCATGGAGGTGTATTTTTATGGCGGACAAAGAGTGAGCTCCTAATCACTTGCCCTTTAGCTTAGATTAAAATAACAGTCCATACTCTTTGCTGCTGACAGTGAAGTAATTGATTACATACTGAAACAAAAAAAAAAGCAATGCATGGTATTACTGGGAATGTGCATGTTACAAGTAGGACCATTTAGGTACTCACAGTCTAGAAAATGAAAGGGACCAGAGTCAGACAATATGAGAATAGCATGGCTACTTGATTTAGAAACCATATCGAAACTTTTGAATAGACAAAGCTGGCAAATGGCTGTTGTAGGCACCAGCTTGGAGGAAATCCATACCAAACAAGAACCATCAAGGTTACTCCAACATGCAGTTTTTGTTGCACGAGAATGAACAAAAACTTGACAAGGTGCATTCGAACCCCCTCTCACTGGACCTAACTACCAGTGCCTGGTCTATTGCTCTTTTTGTCCAGAAAGAAAAAGTAATTTATAACAGCAGCCAGTAGCATCCAGTAAATATTTTTGTTTCTGTGAGATTTTCTTTTGTGACTTTACTTCAAATATCCAAGAATTATATATGAAAGGTGGAGTAAATCAAGAATAATGAGAAAAGTTATTATTTAAAAAATCACAGCATATTCACGGTGTGAATGATGATGAGTGGGGTGAAGAGTCAGACAACCCATCTGTGTTTCCGTCCGTCTGTTCGTTCTTGCTTCTGTTCATCTGCGCAACCATCCATGCGTCCGTTCGTCCATCTATGCATACGTCCGTCCATCTGTGCATACGTCTGTGAGTCTTTCCATCCGTCTGTCTATCCATTCGTGCATCCATCCATCCGTACGTTCGTCTGCTAGTCTCTCTGTTCGTCTATCCGTCTGTGCGTCCATCTAGTGAACACTGCAAGTACAGTCATCTCCAATCTCGCATCCCCTGTGGCACATACCCCCTCTAGAATGGGTATGTGCCACCCGTGGCTACCTGCTACTACTACATAGATCGGAGGATGTACAGACCTACGCCTTAAGGAGCTTCGCCCCTAAAATGGTAACACTAGGCATGCAGGATGACATACAGTACATAACGCTTCGAGCTTCTAGCCATCTCGGTTCATGCAGCCCTTGCACTCACCGCAAAATACCTGCTAGATGAGGAGTGTTGACTACCTACGCACTCATGCTGTCCTGCAACTTCATCATCCCTCCCTCTCTGATGCCTAGTTCACTCTGAAGAATCGGCTTTTCACAGGGACTGGAATTCTTCTGTCGCCTAAACGCAGCATCATTCGCACTGGACACGCACCGCACCGCTGAATTCGCTGAATAATTGTAGCGCCCCATCTGCCGACTGAACAATCAACTGCGGGGCGAACGCGGGATGGGTGCCGTTGCCGTGGGTTACAGATGCGAGACGCCAACAACACTAGGCCAGTATGTATTGAAATCAGGTTGTGTAGACTTTAATCTTTCGTGCACTTTCACTGCTTTAAATGACTATGCTGATGACTGAGCAGAAAGAAGCAGTACTGCTTTCTTTGCTGGCAAGGTTGCCATCTTGTTGTGCATGAAGAGGAGAAAAAAATCGTCCATGCCAGCATTGTTAATTGGTTTGTCTTGCTATGCAAGACTGCAAAAAACTCGGTTACACCGACTGCTTCTACGCGATCGGGACATGAAGTACTACACAGAGTGGGCTAAATTCTATTTGTTTATATTCAGTTACATGCACGGTGACATGACAAGAGAGTCCGGCTTGGCCGATGTTTTAAAAATTGCTTGATGAGCTCTCCTATTGGCTCGCTACGAGCTGATTTAGTGGCAGACATCGTGAAAATTGGTCCGAGAGTGATCGGCGCAGAGAGGGCTCTTTTGGCGACCGGAATGTTCAGTGTGAATGAGCCATGACACCGTACCACCCATACACTCCCTCCTCCTACCCTTTGACCCCTCTACTGTGGTACACTTGCTTAAGGCTGGGCCGATTATAGAAGGAGGTGCATGCTCTGCTGCACACCCCTGCTCACCTCTCTTTCCTAAACTAGTGTGCAGGAAGGTGGCGCAGTGTTTGTCCTTGTAAGAATGCATGTTAAGGGCTACACCACCATGTGGCACTGCACATGTCATAAGGTGCTGTAGTACAGTTTGACCCTTTTTTAAGAGGCACCAATATATTACAGACAAATGGGTATAAGAGATACCAGTGTGCCTACAGTAAAATACAGGTTAATAGGAAAATGCATACATGGTAACCTGCGTATAAGAGATATCTCATATGCTGCCCAGAGCATGTCTCTTATAAAGGGGTTCAACTGTATCTCTCTTTAGTTCGAGCCCCATTTTGACACGGATAATTTCTGGTCCTACTGGAATTCAAATGAATGAGGTTCCACTTTATTTAATGCTTGCAGCATTCTCAAAGCTTTTTCTTGTCAGCATCTTTTTTATTTAGTAGAAAGTGTTAAGTGCTAGGAAAGTTTCATGTGCTAATTAGAAATATTACACGAGGAAATTGGAATCAGTCCTGTTTTTTTCTTGTGTATGTGTGTGTGCCCAGTTACATTTTTAACTACCTATTTTTACATTCATTTTCCCAGCTGTATATTTTTCTCTCTTCTTTTATTTTTTTTTTGCATGCAGAATTACTATGTGCTAATGGAACAGTTAAGAAAATGAAGCTGGCCAGGCAGTTTGTATTCTTTTTGCATAATGGCAATAACTTTCTGTGTTGACTAGACAACAATGAGTTCAGACTACATGTCCCACCACCATTTTTCCACATTTTAAAAGAGAGATATGCACACGTACACACGTAAAAAGAGACTGTGGGCCCCAAATTGTCTGTTATATTCATCCTATCTTGCTTGATGTGGTGTTTGATGCAGTCACAGCAAGCTTCATTATGTCAGCCACATAGCTCTGCAATATCAAGTTGTGTGCCCTCAGTGCCAGCACCGCAAATGCATATATATTCGGGGCACAGCCTTCGTAATTCTCTGGACGAAGGCCGTGCCAGGGCTGAAATGTTAGGCATAAAAGTATTGCTCTCTTGTACATGTACAGTACTAGCTTCTGTTTCTTAATATATATATATATATATATATATATATATATATATATATATAGTGGGAGTAATAATTCAATGGGCCAGTTAGTCTTTGTGAAGGTATGGGATATGGCACAACGGGAGCGTTGTCAACAAGGATAAATATATTTATTTCCCAACAGTTTCGGGAGGGGTCCTCCCTTCATCAGGGGATGAGTTATACTGACATGAATTTCCAAACTTCGCTGCTGCCGCGTCCCTCTCGCCTAGAAACATGTTTGCGAGAGTGAGAGGGAACTAGAAAAGAAGAAAAAAAAAGGGGGGGGGGGAGAAAAAAAAGAAGAAGAAAGAAAAGAAAGAAAGTAAAAAAGAGGAAGAACCACTGTCAACGCTGAGAACGAAAGCAACTGTCCGTGTACGTCCACATACGTTTCTTATCACGTGCTGTTCAGTTCTCGACGTGTGTCGGGCCACCCAAGATTGTCGCCGCGGTGCCGGGAGGGTCCGTGACGGCGTGCGTAAAGAAAGGGTTTCCCCGTAATGGCTCGGTCGGCATGCAGCATGCGTAAAGGAAGGGTCTCCCGTTGATGGGTCGGTCGGCTCGTTTTACCTTTAATCTTAAGATTAAATCTTTAATTAATCTTTAAGATTAAAGTGAGATTTGGTGTGGGTATCTGCCAGAAGTATGTATACATCTGGAGGGTGAGACTGGATGCATCGCGGAGGTCAACATCGACTACTCTGCAACTGGGTGGGGAAGTCTGCCACATACTCCGGTGCACGACACTGGCTGTATCAAGGTGGTCTTTGCAGGTCTTGATCCTTGGGCGATGGTACTGGGCGCATTCCAGGTAGTTCAGGTGAATGGCACTGGCTGTTGCGCGAAGGTGGTAGCCACCTTTGTCACTTCTTTCGCCGCATTCTGGACGCAATGGGAGATTCACAAGAGACATCTCTTGGAGAATGACGAGCACCTGTGCACGTGTCTGCTGACAACGTCATCCAGACAAATGGCTCAGACTGGTCAGGGTCGATCTTCTTGCTATGGCTGGGCATGACTAGTTTTTTTAAAGGCAGAGTGTAAGCCGTGGTGCTACAGGCATTCATAGGCAGGTAGGGTGCGTTGACTCGTAGCGTGTCTGGCAGGACAAGGGCCACGTGCCAAGGTGGTGTTGAGCTCGGAATCAGCATCACCAATTGCTAAGCCTCGAGTGCAGTCTTGTTGTTTGTCATCGGGCTGGAGGACTGTGATGAGACATTGAGCTGGTGCCTCACGTGAGCTAGATATATGAGAGTGGGCACGTTAGTAAAAGGCCCAGCTACGCCGTGCCCCTCACTATGATGTTCCATGAGAGAGGGCAGGGTGGTAGATGGCCGAGGTGCACTGGAGAGGTGGTGAGCCTTACATTTCCCTTCCGCTGTAAAACAGGAGCCGGCAGGAAGGAGGTCGCAGGTGTGGGAAAGGGGCCGAAAAACAGTAGTCAGCTTGGCACACCACTGAAGCATATTTTTATATATATATATATATATATATATATATATATATATATATATATATATATGAACACATGCACACACGCACTAATGCATCCTATATATATAGGTAGCATTCCCATGTGCCTATCTAGCTTGATCAAGTATGGCCCTGCAAACATAAAGAGTATTCGGTTGTATGGTCAGGTCAGCTTGTTACTGCCAATCTTGTACGGTAGCTCATGCTTCACTCAAAACTTGTGACTGAGCTCTTATGACAGCGATATCGCTCTTGAATGAAAAATGGACGAATAGTCATGTGTGTCCTGTACACATTCCTTCACCATAATAAATGGACAAGTAGCCATCTATGTTCTGAACACATTCGTTTCAAGATATCCAATGGGGAAATAAAGCTGCTGTGCTAGTTCCCATTTAGTGTTCATCGCTAGTTTTCCACGGTGGATCAGTAGTGGCTAGGGTGCTTGACTGCTGACCCGAAGGTCGCAGGTTCGATCT